TGAGCTGATTCCATAACTCAACCTTTGCATTTAAAACCAAATAACATGAACTGATTGCAGGTCTCTTTTTGTTTTTAAATAAGTAAAGTTTTGGTTGATTTTAGTGAACAAGAGGGACTAGATACAAGGATTCTCCCGTGTGGGTGAGACAGTGGGAAACATATCAACTTGAATAAAATGAAAAAGCTCGTGCTTTGCTGTCAGTAATGAATAGCATCCTTCTGATGTTTGGACTCATCTATGCCTATGTTTTCTGATACCAGAATATGCAGCTCAGGGAAAAGGCAGCTTAAAGATGAGAAGCTAGAGAATTTGTTTTGGGGTTTTTTTTGTTTGTTTGTTTTGCTTTGTTTTGAGGTGGATACAAAGCTTAATGGAGAACATCAGATAGTAAAATGAGAGATTAATGTGTATATACAGTCATGGTTTTTACAGAGGTAAATGCACTGTATGGGTGGAAGATGAGTTTCTTTGTATCACTTTGCTCTGGAACTACTGTCTGGAAAGCTGCCATGTACATGTAGCATGATAACACTGATTTTTGAACAGACTAGATCTCTCAGTTATGGGTTTGTTATCCTTATTTCCAGATACCAACTGCTCCGCCAAGTTACACTGGACGACACCTCTGGTGAAAGGCTGTAGGCTGTAGAGAATAAGAATCCTTGTTGCAGATGTTGTCCCCTGGCAGTGTGTCTTTGAGGGAGGAATCCATAACAGTACCAGAACAAAGCAACAAAACATCCAGGAGCTTTCGAAATCCTACAGAGGATTTTGCCTAAATGTGAACACCATTGAACTGATAAGATAATTGCAAAAACAAAATTGTAAAACTGAAGCTGAATCTAATTTAAAATAGAAGTAGGCACACCTTAAATTTGAAGAGGGGGATATTGTATTCTGAAATGTAAGATATTCTCTTGTCTGTAACTAGTGTGCAAGGCAAGCCTGTTTTTGTTGGTTGCCAGTTGCTTGCAAAATACCCTCCTCTCACCTAAACTTAATTCATGTTGCCACAAGAGATTGCCACTACAGTGTGAAAACATGCAGGATTTCTTTCCATTTTGCTCCTTTTCCCTTCATTTCAAACGTCATGAAAGGTACCTTGTTTGCTTCATTAGCTGTACTGTACAGTCACATAGCATCACGCGTAGTCAAGCATTGTCACTCAGTGGCAACTAAATTACCATTACACTGTAGGCTGATACTCTTCTCCTTAAAAAGCTGGTGTAGGAAATGCAGTTCTGGAGGGATGCAAGGTCTATGCATGTTTCATGTGAGTTATGGAGCTTCTTGAGGCAGAGGGGAAAAGCGTAGGTCCAGCACAGAGGCAGCTCTCCTCGGCCGCGTGGTATCAATTCCCCATTATTCCAGCCTCAACCCTGTGCGCGAGCAAAGAGCCGCGTGCTCTCACATCTCCTACAGACAAAGCCATTAAGTGAAACTTTGGAGGGATATACTTTTGCAAAGACTTAGCTGGGGAGAGAACATGACTCGAGTTTGGCAGAAGGAGTTCGTTGTGACGGTGGATTAAAGGCGGCCCACTGTACTGCCCGAGCCAGCCTGTTCTGTTGGGCTGATCTTGGCAAGCAGGAAAGCGGTGGCCGCCGGGAAGTACTGACCACCTTTCAGGAGAAACTCAGCAGTAGATAGGGTCAAGACCTCCCTTTCTAATCCCTGTTCATGTGAGTAGTCCCCTTGACTGCAGTTGTTTGTGCATTTAAATGTGGTTGTGCATTTTAGTGCCTAGCTAGTAGAATCTCCGTGCTGGAGGTGGTTTGTTGTTGTTTCTGTTTTTTTTAAGGTGGTTTCTTCCCTACTCCTCCCCCTCCCCTCCACTCTTTTGTGTCGATATAAGGCAGACTTTCTCAAAGCTTTTTATCTTTGTTTTCTCCAGGTTATTTAAAAGGTTCCCATTGCCCATTGTTTGTGCCATGGTTTTTCATTATGTTTAAGCAATCATTCCTTTATTTAACATCTAATACATATCGGACATTGAAAACATCATTGTATCCTCACTGTTTGGCCAATGTTAATCTTAGCTTTCCTCGATACTAAAACCTAATTGTTTTTACTTGAGGGCATAGGAAACGTATAACAATTAAACTTTGCATATGCTGTAATAAAAATATATATTTTCAAACTAAAAAAATATAATGTACAAATAACTGAATAGCTTAGTAGCTTCACAGAAGGAAGTTACTTGCTGTATACTGCAAAAGAAAGACAAGCTTTTTATTTTTCAAGAGTCTTCCTGATTCTTCATGTACCTCCATTTCTACTGAATTAGGAACCTAGTCCTGCAGACTTGTACTCCCACGAGTAGTCCCATCGACACCAGTAGGCCTACGTACAGGTACAGAGGCTGCAAGACCAGTCCCTAAGTGTTGCACACAGATATATATGTGTATATCTATATATGGAAAAAATATATATTGCCATTCTTGCCATGATCATCTTATGGGGTTTTATTTCAAAGCCCTTCTCTTCCAGAAGCAATGTTTTCTTGTCATGCATGAGTAAAGGAATATATTGGCTCCCCCCTGCCCTTCCCTCCTCGAGGCAAAGGAAGCATGTGCTTGTTTTAGGGATTGCTTATTTTATTTTGTAAGTAACTAGATGGCCTTAGTAACCAAGTAGGGAAGGGGTGGATATTGCATGCTATCCAGTGACTTAGAAATACATTTTGCTTGTTTTAAGCAAAGCTTTGATCAAATAAGATAGTATTTAAGATAAAGATAGGTACCCAGAAGATGCATCATTGGAACAACAAAAAACCTATTACCATCACTTGCCTGCAGAATTTTGGGTTTAAAAACCAGTTTAAAAAAAACCCTCATAAAACTCTATTGTAAAAACATATAAGATGACCATGGCATAAATGGTAGGACAGCTTTCTTTTAAAAAGTTTATCATGCTACAACCAAGATTTATGAATTATAATACACATTTTACAGACCTTGGACAAAATCTGTACAAGATATAGTTATATTAAGAAACATTTTTTTCTTTTTCTAGATGTGACTGAATTGGTAAATAGAGTTCCCAATCCTGCTCCTGATGAAGTTGTTTGGAATTTGAGGCCTTATGCAAAGATATGGCCAGATCCTACAAACTATTCACGTGACTAGTCTCATTGGGTTAGTCACGTGGACTATTCACAAAACTGCAAATTAGCAGGATTGGGTTTAATTTGTGGTGGTGAAGGTGTGGCAATAGATTAGGAGGGTCTTTATTTCCCAACTTTATACAATTAGAAATAAGCAACTTTTTTTTGTAAGTCACTAGTCTGTGATGTAAAATGCCCCAAATAAAACTGTAATTGAAGAAAGGCACCTTTATGTTAACTTGTATTTTTGTTACAATAAACAAATCGTTTACTTTTGCCTTTTATGAAAGTTATCTAGAATGTAGAGCATCTGTGAACAACATAGTAAGTAAGTAAGCACAAGCCTTTTGCAGTTCAGTTAATTATAATTAGCTTTTATACTATAAAAGCTACTATGTTGTCCCTTGTTGTCCCTTGACGGTTATGTGCTCATGGTGTTTCCATGCAGAAAAATGAAATCGTGAAGCATCTGAAAAAACTGTTACTGAAACAAGATTTATAATAACTGGCTTTTGATCAATGACTGGAAAAAAGTTCAAAGCCATACTTTACAGATCCTGTCCTGCTTTCAGATTAGTTGAGGGCGCCTGACACTTGCCAGAAAATATGTAGCATCTTCAGAAGAACACTCTCAATACATACAGTTGTTTCTATAAACAAGGTACATGAAATACTACAGAACTAGATGTTTCTGTTTTTAGTCTAAACACAGGCATCTTGGTTGGCTTGCTTTGAGCTTGATGCCTTGGGTCTAACCAAAGGCCATGCAAAAGGGAGCATTGTAGCTTTTATAATAAAACAATTGGACTATTCTACCAACTTACAGGATTACAAAGCAGGTGCTTTTTATTAATTGATGAGAGCTAAAGCTCATTTTTGATAGATAATATATATTTATTAAATGTATTAATGTGTGTTTTATAATGTACCCTTTTTTCCGCTGACTGTTGCATACTGGTATCTTATTAAGTACATCTTTAAAGGATTTTCAAGACAATCAATGTGTACCATGATGACTGTACATAAGTATACAAAACTACAAAGGTTGTAAAGCATGGGCAAATGTTTTATTTTCAAAATGCTGTTCTTAACGAGAATAAAGGCTTTACTATTTACTTACAATGTTTGTGTTAACTTGGTGTTAAAATCCACCTAAAATTTTTCCATTACAGTAAACTACTGGTGCTACAGACAGCATTGTCCTGTGGTGATACCAATTCTGCAATATAAGCTAAGTTAAACTAAAGGAAACTGGCTCCTAGTGGCTAGGGCCACATTGTTCCACCTTTGGCCACATTCCCACATTTACCCTTAGCTCTGGCACCTCTCAAACCCACGGTGAGCCAGTCAAGTAGTTGAGCAGCCAAACTTTTAACGCTACAAGTGGTTTTATTTTTTTTTTCCAGTTGGCTCAGCAGTTTCCTGTACTGGCTTAATTGCTAGTGCTTGTGAAAAGGAGGGGATAGGATCATATGGCTGGGGTTGAAGAATGCAGGTTGAGAGTTTTTTCTTCAAATGGTTTGATTTTCCTGATCTGATGCAACAATCAGCATCACCAACCAGGAAAAAAGTGAGGGGTGGGTATTGGTATAACAGTGAAGACAAAGTCTGTGTAAGTGATGGAAGAAATCCACGTTGAACCACAGCAAGAACTAGAGGGTATCTGTGTTTTATCACACTTTCATTCAAAACAACTAGACCTTTGTTTGACTTGTATGGAATTAGTAGTAGAACTGCAAATATCTTCTCTAATTGTGAAATTATAAAGGCCTAAATAGGACTATGCTTGACAAGACTGAGTTAAAAAAACGAGGGTTCCTTAGCAGGGGGCCCAATCTGATTTTTATTCTGCTTAACGAGGGTTCCTTAGTAGGGGGCCCAATCTGATTTTTATTCTGCTTGCACCTTGTGTAAGTAAGTACACATACACAAGATTGCTGAAAATGCTATCACTGTGATCTTCATTTTACACTTTCTCAGCACATGGGCTACATGGTAACAAAAGGGCCTTTGACTTTTTTCCCCTGCAGAAACGCAGAGCAACCCTAGCTCTCATTGCTTTCATTTGGAATTGCAGAGGCACAGTGTTTCTGAAAATTAGACTGTTATGAACAGAGCCTGGATTTGTGTAAATTGTCACAGCTTTGCAGAAGTCAGTGAAGCTCTCCAGTTTATACTAAAGGGAGATTTTTGCCTTAGTTTTAACACCTGCCTACATGAGGGTGTAACCCCATTAATCTCATCCAGAGTTTTGTTCCTGTCAGAAAAGCTTGCAAGTGAGCATTCAGGAACACAAGATAAACACAGACTCAAATTTTTTGGTTAAATGTGCACAATTCCATCTGTTTTAACAGAATTGTGCTCACTTACTTACACTAGGACTGAATTTTGTCTTGGCATGCTAGGTCCTTACATAATCTCCGTTTGATGTACAACACCTCACATGTAAAACTGTAATGCTAAGAGTGTTTCTAAATCAGTACCACAAAGTTTAGTCCATGAGCTCTGTTTTGTGATATTGGTGAGAAAACTAAAATCGAGATGTTGAATGATTTTGTGTATGTTCTTCTGAGTCTTCCGCTTTGCTTCCCACTGCAACCATACAAAATAAAACATTAAATACTTAACTTTCCAAAACATCCACAGAAACAACAAAAAAGTAAACATCCATACTTCCACAGCAAATACTCTCTTGTTCAGTAAATAAATAAAAAAAATCCCCACCCAACCCAAAAGACCTATTTCTTCGATGCATGGCATTTTTTTGACACAGCTTCAGCACTCAGCTACTTGCACACAGTTCTCAGTGCCGTCTGTGGGAGTTGTGCGTGTGTAGCTGAGGGCAGAGTTGTTTGCTAGTAAGAAGTTATTGGATTGTTCAAAAAGAATGAAAGCAGCTCTTTGAGGTTTTTGCTTTGAAGAATTTTCAATTAAAAGTCAGTGATGAAGTCATACAGTTCACCTAGTATATAAATATATTTTTGTCATTTAGGACAACAAGCAAGGTCAATAAAGAATACTTTTTCTGTGTCTCAGTGGAAAGAAGAATGTTATCCATGTGATTGCAAAGGGTCTGCCAAATGGGAAAAATCAGTCAAACAAAGAGCACAGGGTTGCTTGCTGGAGTAAACAATTCTAAATGAACAAAAGCTCTACATAAAAGTAAAATGTCCCACCCCCCCTAGTGAAAGCTGTTTTCAAAGCTCTGTATTCTTTCAGAGTGCTGTAATACAGATTAACCTAATGTTTTTCTTCTGCTGATACAACAGTCTGGTTCCACAGTCTACTTCTGTGATTTCAGCTGTCATATTCTATTCTTAATATTTTAATATTTTACAAACTGCCTTTTAACTTATAAAGATAAAAATCTGTTTTTCTACTCCCTACACTTCAGAAGATGCATCTGTACTGTACATCTTTCACATCAAGCAAGTTTGTTGGATGATTTATATATAAAAGTTACGCTATAGGTAAAGAAGGCCAAATAAGCTCAAAAAATTCCCTTTTGTACATACAGTTTCAGGAGAGCCTAGTTACCCTTCCAAGGCATGCAACTGAAAACCAGCAAACAAAATCCTCTTGGTACGTACCCAGAATACCAGGCTGCAACAGGCCCATGTGCTAATTTAAGGTGCTCAGTGTACTACCAACCTGGAAGATCTCAGCTCATAGAAACATACAGGAAAAGTGATGTATGATGATGAGGAACACAGACAATACCTTAGAAACCCAAAATATGACTGCAGTGGTAGGATATGCCCTACGTTCTACAATGGTCAAGGCAGTACGTGCCCAGTGCCTTGCTGGCACAAGACCCTTCTGGATTTTAGGGCTTTTGTTTGTACAGCTGGTAAGGAGAAAAATCAGAGTGGATTAAATATCCCATGTGACTATGAATGTCCCATATACAAAATACTAACTATTGCATTGAATTTTATCTAATATGCCTTGATGTGATGAGGCTGGCCTTTGCAAATATTTCATAAAAACTGCGACAAGTTCAAAAACCCCACGGCTCTCACACACTGTTTCACATTAAAATGATCAGGTGTTTTAGGTAGCTGCTAGCAGTGCTTTTAGTCAGGAGCGTCCATGTCTTATCATAACCTGTGTTACTTAAGCATAACAATTTCAAATCACATCACTCTAACCAGGAAGCACAGGTTGTCAGCATGAATCTGGATTTCAGGCAGTTATTTAAATAGTTTTCGACATATACTTGCTTCCTATGCAGACAGAAAAGTAAGATGTCCTCAGGATTCAGAGAAGCTGGAAAGATGGGGAAAGAAGCTGCCTGGCTAAGTCTTTTCACTAGAAATTTCCATTGGAAAAATATATTTTTCAGGCTGTGACACCTCAAACTGAACTAACTTGCTTAAAATATTTTGAAATGCCTAAGGAAGATGTTTAGTTTGTATATTAGCATAGCTCCCATGAAGTTTAGAACAACTTATGCTAGCTGATAATCCAGCCCATTTCTTTCAGACAACACATATCTAAAAGCGATGAATAGTGTAAATGTCAGTATGAACAACTAGCTTACAACCATGCCATTCATATGTTGAATTTTAACCATTTCAGTCTTAGGAGTCCTATCATTCATTCAACAGAGGAAGAGAAAGACCCATTTCTATTTTCAGTTGCATTTAAAAAAAATAATAAAAGTTGAACTTTAACAGCACAGTTCCCATTTTATCCCTCTATGTCCCTAGTCACTGTGTGCAGTTATGCTGGCAGATTCCTACTGTTGCAGAACTGTGATTCTACTGCAATGGAGACCATCTCTTTTTCTTTACAGAGATTTCCTGCATGCTGAGGAAAGGCGCATGGACATAACCGGGCAGAACAAACCGCCCGAGGATGCCAGTTACGTAGTGGCGACTGCAGCTATGCACTGCTGCCAGTCTCAGGGCAGTGCCAAGAAAACCATTGTCACAGGAGGCTGGATTCAGCTCCCATGAAAATTACAAACACCTTAACTCCCAAGATGTTTGTGTAACAGAATGTGTGAAAATTATCTACAGAGAATGCATAATCACTAATTTAAGGAGGTGCAACATAAGATTTAAATAGAAGTAACACAATCATGATCATTGGTAGCATGATCACAGGATTTCATATAGTTTTAAAACATCAGCTCCGGTTTTAAGTCCTAAGACATAAAGCAACCAAGGCCCTTAAGTGCTATGACAGTGTTAAGTTAAAAAAACAAAAATCTCACATCTCATTTATTTCCAGTATTCTATCTATATAGGTCATATGGTTTCTACTGTCAGGACAGTTGAATTTGTTAGCATTATGTTTCAGTCTCATTACTCTTATTTTTTAATACAGAGCGAACCTGATTAAACTATGCTTTAGTCACATGCATGTTCTAAATCATAGGATACTATAACCATCACTACAATAATAAGCGCTAGTGGAGACTGTGATTAATTTCCTTGGAAGTGAGGTGGGGGTTGCTCTGAAGAGGTTAGCACAACTGTTAACTGCTATTTTTGACTTGCTACTCTTACTATAATAAAGTTATCTATTAGTTTGTCTGCCACATTCCTTGGAAATGCAGCGCATTTGACATGGTTTATCATGTATGTGTTGCAATGTTGAGGCACAGATGATGGCTAAAGGAAGCGCTGGCTTTGAACGTATTTGGATTTATTGTTTTGGTCAGCTCCTGGGAGTGGAATACTCAAAAATCTACAAAACTCCTATTAGACATCTCAGGATTGGCCTTTGTCCTATTTATATATGCATTAAGTTCAAACATCTTTACCATCTATTTTGGATAACAGAGGCAATTTTCCCTCATCTTAATGCACTAATACAGAATCAGGACTGACGTTCTGGTTTGAGACTTGGTTTCAGCATAACAGCGAACAAACTATGACCTACTTTATACATTACTGTATAATACAACTGGTTTGTGACAGTAGCTTATGAAAGGTTTATACACCCACACTCTTTATTTTGTTTAAATCATAAGAACTATGAGAATTACATTTAGTAATTTAAACAGTTGAAAACAGTAATGAAAAATACCCTAGACTCAGACTATAAGAAGATGAAAATCCATTAAAGAAAATCTATTGGAATAACTTATTAGCAGGAGCTTAGAGTAAAATATATATATAGAAAGGAGTTTCACCCTAGCCTCCCAATGAAATGCCAAAGAAGCCTGAACATGAAATTGGAGCCACCAGCAATCTGTCTGAAATAAGACCTGACTTTTAAAGAGACAGTTCTTTATAAAGTGTGTATAATTTTAGCCTCTCGCTATTGGAAGTCAACATGTAGGCAATTATTAGTGAAACCTTTCACTTCAGGAAATCTTCAGTCACTAGTGATAGGAAAATGATGTACTGAAAAAAAAGATATGCTAAACAAACGAACAAAAAATAAACTGGAAATTATGGCCATAGACATGTCTGCTACTCATGATTCTGAAATGGAACTGTCGGAGGATCACTCATCAGAAGAGGCTTCTGCAAAATGGATATATAAAAGTGACAGGACAAACCTAATTCTCCAAATCAGCAACAGAGTTTGTAAAATGCTTAGTCTTGCCTCCACGACTTTAGAGAACAAACAATTTCAGGGCATTTTTTTAATTCACTTACTTAGGATTAGATTAGGGAAGCAAGATCTGACATACAGGAGACTCCCGAACACCAGCATCCAGTAATGGAGATGGCAAAGAAGGGCTGAAAGATCTCTAGCAGAATTTGTTTGTGCAATGCACCATGCTTTCCTAATATTTTGACAGAAAGATTAATAATTCATTTGGATATATCTGGATGGCATTTTTACAATTCAAGGTGTACAAAGAGAAAAGAAATATTGGAAGATACAAGCATTAGGCTAGATGAACAACTGACGTGAACACCCGAGGTAGGAGAGAACAAACTACACAGAATTAGATATACTGGAGACTGTATTGCTACTGATTACCCAAGTGCCCTCCAAATCATTCAGTGACCTGAGATTCATGAATAGACAGCCACAGAAACACAACGGTTTAGGGAAGAAGACCCCGGACTGAGAGAAAAATCCAGAATGAAGGCAACCAGCGCATCTTCAGCACATCTGATTCATGCAGGTTTTTTTCCATGTAAATAGTCAAGATGATAGAAAAAATGAATGATGAAAGTAGAAAGAACTGACCAGAAATGGGGAGAAATCATTCCAGAGTGGCAGGTCCCCAGCAAAAAGCATTTTGGGATTTACAGGCAGAAGCCAACATGGGCAGAAAACAAGAATGTCAGATTTGCTGGGCAGCTTCATGAAAACTGCATTTACACCCATTAGCCCCTCCTATTTCTGGAATGTTTCCTGTTTGCAAAATATGATAGGTTCTGTAAAGTCACCAAATTTAAACTCTCACACAGACTAAAACAAAAAAAAGACAGTTACATTGAAAAAGACGTCCAAGTGACTAATACCACAGTCTGTGTTTAAAGGGAAGTCTGGGGCAAGTAGCTTGTATGTTCTGCAATCTGTCACCCACTTCTTTGCTAATCTCTGAATTATATTTTAAGACTCCACTAACAGATCGTGGTCTTTCTTTCCGTGCATTCCCCCCCTCTTTTTTTGTT